CAACATACATATACATCTGTGTAAATATAAGATTGTTTCTGTGAGGTTCCTTGGTGTACCTTTATAGCAGAGTAAAGAAACTTAGCCACCTTCTCAGTGACATTAGAGGAGAAATAATTCAAGAGTCTACAAACCTTAAGTGCATCAGAACAGTCCATCATCCTAACTAAAACCCCCCCCACCCCTCACACGGGGGAACTGTGTTCCCCCGCGATCCCCCCCGAAATGATCTCTGACTAAAACAGAATGTAGATACACATGATCGTAAGCCTGTATACGGAAGGTATGTCTATGGTCCTCCTCTCATGGAAATGGTAATTCTTGTTTTCCGTTATATACCCCGTCAAGTTGTGGGTGGAGCCCACATGACAGATGTCTCCCCTCCCCCTGACATTCCAATGTAGAGAAAACTAGACATTGGGAGGGCAGAATCTATGAGGGAACCGTCCACCCTGACATCTAGTTCTCTGTGGACAAGAACCAGAGCTGTGTAAACTTTGTGCTAGAAAAGCAAATGTTTGCACCAAGGTAAAATGAATTCTGTATGAATAAAAGTGGGGCGCCACACCCTATATGAATTATGGAGAGATATACAACTGTTCACTGGGCGTAACTTATTCGGTGTGTGGAAATACTATATGGGGAGAGAGAGCAGTTCTTGAAAGAGCTCTTTCAGCCCCACCCACCTCACGGGGTCTCTGTTGTGGGGAGGGGAAGGGAAAGGAGTTTGTAAGCCACTCTGAGACTCTGAGTGAAGGGCGGGGTATAAATCCAATCTCCTCCTCCTCCTCCTCCTCCTAGTATTTTAGCACCAGCCATGGGATATCTGATTTAACCCCCACTAGCCCTGCCTTCTGTTCATTTGCATTTCCTACACATTTAAACTGATCATTACAAACCTTAAGGGCTAGGAACTTGTTTTTAATGCAATCTGAGCATCTCAAGAGACTTAATGCTGTGCAGTATCCCGCACTGTAGTATCATTGAATACTGGATAATTCACAGTACTAGAAGGGAATTGACTGACATAAATGGATCTATTGACCTGATCTGAATCAAAAGGTTATATTGGTTGGATATCAAGCAAGGACCACTCCAAGCCATGTGTTTTCCTGTCTTTTAGATCCCAGCCTCACCAAACCCTTCATCAAGGTGAGTCCCAGGGGGAAGCTCACACTGGGCTCAAATGTCACCATTGAATGCCAGAGCAAAGAAAACGGATTGACTTTCTCCCTGCGCAAATCAGGAAAAGAGATTGCATCACAGAAGACAGAGCCACATGGAAACACAGCAAAGTTCCTTCTCTCCGTGGGGAGGACAGAAGAGGATGCAGGGAGCTACATTTGTCAGTGTCAGCACAGAAAAAATCCTTTTGTTTGGTCAGAGCCAAGTGACCCTGTGGAGCTAGTTGTGACAGGTGAGGAAGCAAGCTGGGCATTTTTCTTTTCTTTCCCCTGCTTTCCAAACCCCTTTTTCTTATATATTATGCATAACGTCTAGTTTTATGCTTACCTAGACCAAAACAGGGGCTGTGGTGGTTCAAGTGGTTAAGACATTGAACTGCAGATTGGAAGGTCGGTAGTTCAGCAGTTCGAGACCCGAGTGCCGCATGACGGAGTGAGCTCCCGTCTCTGGCCCCAGCTCCTGCCAACCTAGCAGTTCGAAAGCAAGAAATTGCAAGTAGATAAATAGGTACCACTTCGGTGGGAAGGTAACAGCGTTCCGTGCGCCTTGGCGTCTAGCCATGCCAGCCACATGACCACGGAAACATCTTTGGACAGCGCTGGCTCTTTGGCTTGGAAACGGAGATGAGCACCGCATCCCTAGAGTCAGATTCGACTGGCTATTGAGCAAGGGAAACCTTTACCTTTACCTAGACCAAAACATGGTACCTATACCCATATAGTAGAGCATGGATATGATCTTCTTATATATGATGCAGTTACTTCTGTTTTTATGCATGCCAGACCAAAACAGGGTACCTATACCTATACAGTAGAGCATGGAGGATGAAACGTTTTCGGTAAAAGTCACAAAAATTAGGATCAGGGGAAAAATGATTACATAGGAGATTAGAAGGAAATGCCAGGAGCCCTGGTGATTCTTGGAAGTGTGTGATAATTTCTTTGCTGTATTTAATGACTGCCAGAAGAAAAGTCAACAAAGATCCATGGTGGTTTCACTTACACATATTCCCCTGCAGGGTGGGATCGTACTATAGTGTGTGTGTTTGTATGTGAAGGGTATCTAAAGTACTGGAAGAGGATGCACGGGGGGGGGGGGGGGGAAGGTGTAGCCGGGGGGGGGGGGGGGGGTCCAGAGGATGGTGAGATCATGTATGCAACACTGTCTGCCTGACCATGCATGGGAAACGTGTTCAGTCTCCTTTCTTCTGTATTGATGACCAAAGCTACGGATATCACCAGGGCCGGAGAAGGAAAACTAAATCATTCAACTCATATAAATTGTGAAAATAGCTTACTATGTGTAATTTATTTTGCTTTTGCCAGCAATGATGGGAGAGGGGGGTAGTTAGAACACGAAAGTCTTTGCCACTGGAAATTTGGTTTTGTCCCTCCTTGGGTTTCTGAGACAGCATTATTCACCACACTCAACGTGTCCTCAGCCGTGAGGAGTAGAAATCTGTTATGTCATCACTTGATATTCAGGACACTGAATTCTGTGGGTTATACTACTTTGCCTGTGAAAAGAGCGAAGTAGTACTTTCGAGAATGTTTTTTGTGGTTAATTGCAGCAGGAGCTGGGGGGGGTTGTTCTGGTGATTTGTGTTTTATTGATGCTTGTACACTTTGTTACTAGAGTGTTCTGAGTGAAGGTTTGGTTTTTTTAAAGCTGCCTTAGGCAGTAAAGGATGGGAAGGTGAGGAGGGCAGGGGTCAGTTGTAACCAGCAGCACAGACCCAGTACCTGGGGTGGTTTTTCCCAAGAGAGAAACACCCCAAAACAACCTCTGAACCTCCACAAGCAGTGCCCTCAGAGCCAGGCTTGGCTGAAACAGTGGCTTTTGCTGGGAGGCTAAGAGAACCACATTTTAACTGGGAAATCTTAGGCCAAGTGCCAGGCCAGCTGCGTGGTCAGACATCCTCCATGCGACCCCCTCCCCCCCACACACACACTCTTCTCTCCTGTCAGCTCAGTCCCAAAAGGACTAAGAATGGGCAAATCTCTGCCCTTGCCTCAGGCATCTTCTACTGACCAAATGGCTAGTCTTTTTTCTGTCAAGTGTACAGGCAGGCAAGCAGGGACAAAGAGTCACTGGTCACTCTTGTCTCCGTCATGAATGGAATATGTTGTATGTTTTTCTGTCCCAAATCCTTTCACACCCTGGAACTCAGAAAACACCTCTTGGTAATCTTTACATTTCCACACCTATCTGTTTGTCTGAGATATCTGCATTTCTCTCACCTATGCCAGACCCATCGAGGTAAACATTGCTGTAGAATGGTAATCCACTCAGTTTCATCCTGCCAAACATTAAGGAAGGATTTTCTCCTCTGATACCAGGGAAACAGCAGATTGCCCTGTTATTCCACAATGGGAAACCCATCAATACATTGTGAAACTAGCTACCACACTTTAACATACCTTCAGGAGACATTTTGGGGTATAACTATACCCAGTCTTACACATGCCCAGTGTGACTTTAGCTGGGCGCGCACAAAGCTAACACCCTGCCCTGAGCACAACTCAGGTCCTCTGTAGTCTCACTGGTCGGTCCACGCAACTCCTCTCATCTTACCTTGGATTCCTTCATCTCTTCAGGATTGGTATAGTATTACCCTGACATTCCCCAACCCCCTCTATTTGTCTGCTAACCACTTTCTATATCTTCTTGTATGCTTGCAGTCTCTGATCTGAATGTAAATATCTAGATTATTATTATTAGATAAATAAAACCCATTTCTGTTACAATTTGGAATGGGCATTGCTTTAGTCTAAAGGGTCTCCGTAAAAACCAATAGCAGATTCATGCTATACCCCAGCCTCTTTAGGGCTGCCAAGTCCCCCCGGGGGTGCGGAAACCCCCGCCCCAGAGGCCCATTCCTCGCCGCCGGCAGATTGGGCCCCAGGGGGAACCCCACCCCGACGTGCGCGTCACCAGGAAGTGACGATAGGACGCCAAGCACGCTGGGGGCGGGCCCACGACCATCGGAGGGAAAATTCTATGGTTTTCCCTCTGATGGTCGTGGCCCCGCCCCCAGTGTGCCTGGTGTCCTAACATCACTTCCAGGTGATGTGCGTGTGGTGCGCGCGCTCCTGTCGCCGCCCGGGAATCCCCCGCTGCGGCGACTGCAACGACTTTGCAACCCTAAGCCTCTTGCTAGTTCTGCCTCTGTAGCTAATTCCCCAATCAAAGCAAAGGCAAGATATTTATTTAATAAAGCTGTCTTGGGGTAACACAGTGTGCTCCACTGCCAGGGCTGACACCCACTGCCATTGGGCCAGCCCACACCACAGGGAGGGAGGAAGACGTGGGAGGACACCACATGTCATCCGCTGATGAGTGACTGGCCCGCACCATCTTCATTCCCTGCAGCACGGGTGGGGGGGGCCAGTGGGGCCCACCTATCCTATTATGGATGGTGGACGCAGGCTCCCTTCAGCTATCTGGCCACGTGGGGCCAGAGGCACTTCCTGAGGGCTGGGGGAGGGTTGGGGGGGGCTGCTGGCATCACCTCGAGTCTGCCACTTTTGGCAATTGCCTAGGGCTGCCTAGTAGACAGGCTGCCCCTGGTTCGTTTGACTAAATATTGGCATAGATGTCCATCCAGGTAGAAGATAGATTCCTGCACCAAGAACATTTTATTCTTCGGAAGCAAACGAGCCAAAGTGACTCTCTGCTCTCTTTCTTTTCCAGTCACCTCATCGACAGAGATCGTCGTCCGTCTTGGAGCCGCTGGCTTGGTCTTGCTGGCCTTGGGGCTGATTGTGGCTGAGGCAGCCTACAGCTGGAGGAAGGGGGAGCTCTAAGCTGCCCTGACTGAGCCCACACCATCACCCAACATCCTGCCCGCCTCCAAGGCAGATGCAAATGAAGTCTCTCCCTCTTCATTCCTCCCAGCCCACGCTGGCATTCCATGGTAGCATCAAAGAGAAGCGGCCTTGTTCTGGGCAGGCTGGCTACCAAAAATCTTCCCTTTTGCCACACATGGAAGGATCTCCAGCTGGCCAAAGTCTTCCCAGCTCTTCCCGTTGGCCAGACTGCCTTCTCCTTAAACCTGATGTTGCCTCTAATCTCATCCTGGCCTTCATCTGGTCGTGGACCGAATGTGAGTGTGCCAGACCCAGTCTTGCCGCAACCCCTGTGAGGAGCCGATCCTGCAAAAAGATATTTGGACTTTTTTGGACAAATGTCACCTGTCACCTGGGATGTGCTGGCTCTCTCCCAGACACCATAGAATCAAATTGTTATGACATCAGTATCAAATTTAAATGACAGTTAACCACCACAGATACTAATGAAGACCACCATGCAACTCCCCGTTGGCTGCTTGTTTGTCTGCCGTAACCATCAAGCTTTCTTTTCCCTCGGCCATGC